ACAACAGCAACGACAGCAACAGCAGCAGCCGCAGCAACAGCTGTAGCAGCAACAGCAACGGCAACAACGACCAGCACCAAAATCAGCAGCACCAGTAGCACCAGCAGCACCAGCACCACCACCACGACCACCACGACCACCACGACCACCATCACCACCACCACTGCCGCCGCCGCCACCACCACCACCACCACGACGAAGACGCCAACCGCCACAACCACAACCACGACACTAACACGGACACTCATGCAAACACTGACAGCAACACTGACACTATTTTCAGAAACGGGAATCCTCCATGTCATCACCAGCCTCAGGGCTGATCCTGCTCTTGCTGCACGTCCGAAAACACGCCACCCAGCTACACTGGTAGTCACTGGCAACTATGTCCTTTTCACATTAGCCATGACCATCATCGTCATCACGTCGGATGACAGCGAGAATGCTGTCTTCATCACGGCCGCCAGTCAAGGGCACCGGCGTAACTACAACACTAAGAACAGTCGCTATGGCGCAAAGCTCTGTTATCGTCACTGCGCCTCCTCCTCCGGATCCTCTGGAAGATGCGAACGATCCAGCAGACCTGGTCTGGGCATGATGGCGTGATGTCGGCCACTGCTGTGATCCGTGATGCGGGCTGTCGCCAACGACTCTGTGTCCAAATCCAGACTGAAGTGTAGGCTTGCTGTGTGTACGAGTTCGAGCGTGCAGCCACGTGCACATCACGAAGACTGGCTGGCTCGTTGACTCGTTGATCCCCCCCCCCCCGTGCGCTGCCAAGCTTCTTGTCAGCATTTCCTTCATGTCAGACAGCTTCTTCCTGCGATAGAAACATTTCTTTGGCTCTCATGGCTGGGGCACTCAGTCGCTGACTCGAAAACTTGCTGCTCCAAACGGCCAAGATCCTGAAGCCTAAAAACTCGGCACGCCGGCCTTGTGTTCTTCACTTGCTTTCGGAAAGCCGTGTTGTATAGATCTTCGCCTCAGTCAGAACGAAAAGAGACGGGGCTATTTTTGGCCCCCTGCACTGGACGGGGCTATAGTACTGTGGGAGTCTCGTGAACCTTCTTCATCGGCTGGAAAAGGAAAGTGGGATCCCAAATGCCACGAGGCCACGAACAAAGTGGCAATGAGTCGCACAGTGGCACAATTACTTCATTGCGCAGCTTTCTGTCTGAACTTGCTTTCTTCGGAAAGCCTGACTTTGGCGGTACCTGGTGTCCCTCCATCAGGAAATAAAGCAACGGAACACTCAAAACATCATCCCGATCATGGCCCAACAACGCAGTCAGCGTTGTCAAATCTGACGACATAGTGTGACAATGTCCAAGCACTACCTGGTAACTAGTGCACCTCCGGATAGCCCGGGTGGCTGATGTTTTCGCCGATCAGTGGGACCGCTTCCTCGGTACGACAGTGCAGCCCCTGCAGCCCCTGGTTGGACATTTCTTTCATGCGACCAGTCTGCACAGGCGACTATTCTCTCTGAGTGTAGAAGAGTCCTACCTACTCACACAAAGGGCGCCTGCGCCCCCGCAATCGGCGAGCAACTACACCACTCCGCTGACTGCAAAGGCTGCAATGCCAGCCCACATTGCAGGTCATCGAATGCATTCTAGCAGCATTTTCAGACTGTTGCCACCGAGATGCCAACTTTGCTCTGTCGCACAATGGGCTGAGCAGGTAGTCAATGTTTCCCAATTTGTCCAGCAGGCATCGCGATCTATCCTGATTGAAAGGCATCGGCAACCGACGACATATGCTGCAAGACCAATGTAGCATAGATCATAGTCATAGGCACAACATGACAACGGCCAAGACTCCTGAGACACCCGAACAAGCGGAGGGTTTGCTGTGTTACAGGAGTCAAATCCCCTAAAAACCCAAAATCGTAGCCACAGCCCTAAACCCGAGAAACCTTGAGTCCTGAACTGTATGCCCCCAGCGGGTCACACATTCGAAGCTGCAGCTGCGGGGCAGGCCCGATGTAATCCACGGTGACTGACAGGACGATCTGCTCAAACAACTTGTCACTGTCCTGCGGTTTCGAGAGTGGGGTCTGTCTAAGAGTCACTACAATCCGCATAAGAGTCATACAAAACCGAGTATCACAAAAGAGTTCATTACTAGAAAAATGCAGAAAGCTGAGAAAAGGGCACGAGCTTGGTCAGTCGCCGAACTCAAGTCGCGGCAGCGGCTAAAACTGCTAAAGCCACCCAACCCCCAACTGTCGAACCGTGAACTCGACTCAAACTAGCCTGAAAATCCATGAAAGTGAAGACTTCAGGACCCTGCACACTCTTGAAACTGCACTGCAAAACAACAGGGCGATCATATCATATCATATCACATCATGTCAATATCATGGTTATCATCCGGCATTGTCACCAGCAAATAAAGCCGCTGGATCATCCAGTCGTTCGACATCTCATGTCATGTATCGTCACAAGCGCCAACCGGCAAGGCAGGGGCTCACCAGCAAAAGCCGGGTCCACGGCTTTAACATGAGAAGTAGCTTACAAATATGCTTCGGACCGGCTGCGCGGAACAGCAACAACCGTGATGTAGAAGTGGTAGCTGGCCAATCTGGCCGCGACTAAGACTTGCAGTGCCCTGCGGTTGGGTGAGTGGGAGCGGTCTCCTTAAAGAAGTCTTGCTCCAGGACCATCCTGGTCGAGCGCTTCATCCAATATGGAGTTATGTCCTGCGAGCCATCTTGTGCAACCTCAACAGCGCACTCTTGCTTCGGAGCAGTCCTGTTCTTCTTTCTCCTCTACACATCGCTTGAAGCGGCAGCACTCTTGAAGAATAGCAGCTGTCGCCCGCAAGCAGATCTTCCACTCCTGCAGCTGCATGCGGAGACTGCTGGCTGCAATTGAGGACTAGACGCATGCAGGTCGACGAAAAAGAACCCTGCCCACTACCAAGATTTCCCACGGTCAGCCTCAAGTCCTTCTTCTGGTTTCCAAAAGCTTTCCTTTCTCTGTGACCTGACCTGGGCTCTCTCCGGCAAAACGTTGCCGGATGCAATCGACAGACGTGCGACTGACCTACACCGACTGTAGTCATTGCAATCTCATGCGGACTTTGCTGCGCCTGAGACTGGATGCTCGTGGGTTTCAGACCCTTCTCCGCGTTGTATTCGGCCTGCAAGAAGGAAGACGTTCATAAATGTTGCGCTGCAACTGCAATACCACCAACACCACCGCGAGGACTTCGACTGCTACTGCTACTGCTACCACTGTTGCCGCTACTGCTGCTGCAATTGCTGCTGCTACTACTCGTATTACTGCTACTAACACTACTGCTACAAAGATAAGCCTAAGTAGAACAACTACTACTACCTGCTACTACAGCTGGGTGAGGGCTTGTTGTTGATATTGTCTTGGTAGCGCACCTCACCGAGCTTGCGAAGATTGATTACGGCTGCCAATTCTTGAGGTAAAATTGACCAGTTGACTGACGACCTATGCCCCGTGCAGGCACACGCACTGACACTTTTTCTTCACTCCTCAGATCTGTGCAGCGGGAATCGCTCGGACTCTTGAATCAAACGCCTACAACTGAGTCGTTAGCTGTTGGCTTATGGCAATTTCTTGAGCCGCAAAGATGCGAGTGAGGCGGGGCACTCTGAAGTAGACATCTCTGTACACTCGGCAAGGCAGAAAGTGTCAATGAGTTGTTGGAAGAGCTCAGTCTGTCACGCAGGCCTGTGATACCCCGGAAACATGGTCACCCTCATAGCTCTTATCGTGACGCCCACGAATTGTACGAGGCATCGAGGACTCTTCGCACCCCCCATGACTTGGGTCTTCCGCCCTGCTCACATAGGAAGGGTCGCGATTTGACAAGAAGAATCAAGTGTCTTATCCGCCGCAATTCTGCGAAATGTACACACGAGCCCTGGGTGTTCGCTACGTCAGTGACGATCCTCCGTTACAAATCAGGATCACATTGAAAATTTCGGTGTCACATGCTCGACTGAGCAATGCATGAAGTAGGCAATCGGGAAAAGGGTCATCTCGTGTTGCCACGTTCCCAACGACGGTAGTATTCTCGATCAAGTTCACGGTCGCGGTCGGGAGGATCATGCTCCTTTCCCTTCCCTTTGCCATTGTCATGCCCTTAGTTGGCACTGCCTCGGTTCGGAGCTCGTTTGGTGCTCTCATGTGTAGCTGCTCCTGTTGCTTCAGACGTTGTCGCAACTCCATCAGTTCCTCGGCATAGCTGGTAGAGCCTGTCGTCCACCGAATTGTACAAGCTGAAGACGTAGTTCGGCTTCTTCCATTCTTTGTACAGCCATGGATCGAGCTTCTTCTTCCTTGCTTAGTTGGTTGATGAGTTGGTGATGCGCGGCCTCATTCGTCATCCGGTCGCGCCATGCATCGTTCTGCGCGGTGTGCTTGTTCACCTCTGCAGTGTGAATCTCCATTCGAGCTTCACTCCGTGCATTTTGTTCCTCATTCTGAACCAACTTCAACCTGTTCGCCCCACGAGATAAAGTGGACTCGGCAGAAGAACCTCTCCCTGAGAAATTATCTCTGGCCTTCTCGTTCAGATCGTTCGTGAGCTTCTCATACTCTCTTGCCATGATCAAGCCTTCGCCTTGCGCTCGTTGCTCCAGGTGCATGATTCTACTGGCGGCTTGCCCACGCAGTCGTCCCAATTGGTTCGACAAGGACTCTGCAAGCTCATGGTCACGAACGTGCTGACTCTGGCTCATGGTCCATCCGCATCAGCGCGACTTCGTACTCTGTCCTTGATCCTTGATGCACTTGATTCATATGCGCCATAGCTGACTGCAGCATGTTGCGTTGGTGCTCCAACTCCTCAAGTCTCATGGTAGTGCCTGGCTCATCTCCGAGATCTTCTGCATCAGCGCCTGCGCGATTGCCGCGTGATTTCAGTCTCATGAAACCGTTGCATCTCGGACTATGCAATGATCATCTGTTGCACGATAGGATCGTACATGGGATATCTGCTCCGGGAGATGTCCTCGATCGGAAGACCTGAAGGTACGTCGTCAAGTTGAAGCATTGCGCCATCTGGTTTTACGTTCGGGCTCAACAGAGAGCTCCGCAAACCCGCATCAAGCGAGGATCGCATCCTCGCCAACGGCGACGGGAGCATCCTTCTCTGCCCTGAGCAGATTCGGATCGCAAAGATCTCCTCGAAGAACTTCTTGAGGATCTTGTCCTTCTCTGCTCCGGACTCCTTGGCTCACGTTCTCTCACTTTCAGAGTCGATTGCAAACATTGAACCACCGTTTTGGACGGTCGTCTCTCGGCTACTCTCGTTCTTGGGTTTGCCGAAGATGGACGAGACGGTGTAATCCTCGGCGAAGATCTTGGCTTTCTTGCGGGGTTATTCGGCGAGGTGGCTGAGGGGCTTGGCCTTTTCGTCTTCAATGGCGATACTGCCAACGGACACCGCTTCTGATGGGTCATCGGCAGTGGGCTCTCCAGCTGCCGGTATCGCGATCTCGCCGCCCCCAAATGTCATAGTCGTATCTGCACTTGATCCAGATGTCATCTTGAGTGATGTTGATCGAAGCCTACGGCTGATAACCTGCGTGAGAGCTTGTTGTTGACATTGTCTTGGTAGCTCTCACCTCACCGAGCCTATTATGAATATTGAACGTGGGCGCCAATTGTTGAGGTCGGTAGAAGTTGTTCTACTACTGCTTCTGCTACTCGTCCCGCTACTGCGGCTGCTACTGCTACTGCTCCCTCTGCTACTGCTACTGCTAGTGGTAGTACTACTACTACTCCTCCTCCTCCTCCTCCTCCTGCTGCTGCTGCTGCTACCACTGCTACTACTACTACTACTACTACTGCTGCTACTACTACTACTACTACTACTGCGACGGCTAGTGCTAGTACTACTAGAGTAGTACGAGTACTACCACAACCAGCACCATTACAAACACAAGCCCCAACCCCAACCCCAACACCGCCACCACCACCACCGCCGCCGCCACCACCACCACCACCACCACCACCACCAACAACAACAACAACAAGAAGAACAACAAGAACAACAAGAACAGCAACAGCAACAACAACAACTACGACTACTGCTGCTACTACTAATAATATTAAGACTAATTACTTCATTTCTATGAATACTACTACCAGTAGTATTACCATTACTACGACGTTTTTTCGCCTGGACATTGACCACACTGAGCACGCGACTGACTCCTAAACCCTGAATCTGAAACCGTATACCCTAAAGCGTCAAGCAAAGCCGGAAGCACGAAAGCCAAGGTGAAGAGGGTCCGGGTTTGTGGCTAACCCGGCAGTCCGAAAACCAAAGGGTTTCGGGGCTTCGGGCCTCCGTGCAGAGAGGAATCCTCAAACACATGGAAAACATTGAAAACATACGAAATATTTCGGTGATGACTTGGAATAAACCTTGGAGAGTTCTGAAAAGCTTTGTGACTTTGTGCCAGCGACTTAACCGGCAGAGCCCTGAAAGTCAACACCCCATTCGGAAAAGCAAAGGTCCGCCGTCGGGTTAAGGATTTCAGGGTTTGATCAGGGGTCCTGGACCTTCATTCGAACATCGACCTCGGAAATCAAGGTGTCTAGCATTGGACCTCCGTTCAACTCGCGCTTCCAGGTCTCAGGAAGATTCAGCAACAAGCAGAAAGGCATGAACAACTTCAATTAACATTCAAACCAATCAGAGAAGAAGTTGAGGCAAGGTTTAAAAAAAAACAGGCAGAAATGATAGCCTCAAAAACACACCCAAAAATACATAAATACACTCAGCAACAACAAACTCACCAATGATCAAACCTCACAGAAAGTGTCTAAAGTACACTCCCAAAACACCCCAAGCTTTCCAAGATGCCCCATGATCGAAAAAGAACAGAAACTCGCACACAAAGAACACCATTCCAACAAAATTCCAGCATTGTTAGAAACTCGAAAAACTCAAGACCGAAAACTAAATAAAACACGGACAGCTCAAATAACAACTCCAAGACACTCGATGAACAAACAAAGAAGCGATAAACCTCGAACACGCTGAAAAACCTCTAAACAAATTCAAACAGCAATACCAACAAAATCCACAACACCAAAGTTGTACAGCAACATGCACGAATCAACCCGATGAAACTGAGAAGGCGGAACATTCCAACACTTGATGGAAAACAGACCCATTCCACGACTCTTTCCAGAATGGTCTTTTGCTGTGGGCCATCACATGCAGTTCGGGGCAGGCCTCTTAAAAAGTTCAGCAAGGTCATCGTCTTAGGAATCTGGAGTTGATGGTTTGTCAGAGATGTATGAAGGGAAAACATATCATGCAGGTCTGAATCAGCCCGACTTCAAAATACTACCTGGAAGTGTGTCTCTGGATGGCGTTGTGGGGAGTGTCTGCTCACAGGCTTTGGGAAAGCCATCCGCATCAACGGCAGTTCTGTTGGGACAAGAAACACGAAAGTCGCAAAGCCAAGGAGGTTCAGGGCTTAGGTTTGTGCGTGCCACAGGGGAGTTGTTTGAAGAGGTATGGAAAATGTTGAATGATGTGGGATGTTTCAGAATGACTCGGAATGATCGAGTGCTCAGGAAAAAGGTTTGACTTACCCAGGAACCACCCCAAAGTAGCCAGAAAATACCTTCCCTCACGGCACCTCATTCTTTGCGAAGAACCAAAAGAGTACTACAAGTGTCGTACATGACATTGTCGGACCGGGATATGTCTCTCAGACCATCATTCTCGGAATGGGTTTGATATGAGCCCATTCAAGCAGCATCTGCCTCACCGACACTGTACCTACTAAAGTCTTGGCTCCTCTCTGTGAGATGCTGAAGCACCACGATAAGTCGGAGGGACCTGCTTCTTTCGAAGCTCTGCGCTCTCCAATTCGATTTTGTCCAGTATTGCCTGATGGAGCTGTCGCATCCGGACTTGAAGCTCTGCTCGCGAGCTGAAACGAATCAGGCCACTCCCAGTCCCAGCAACAAGGAATAACATCTCGACGGTGCAGATCTCAGTCATGCTACACGATCCCGCCCTGCCGGGGCACTCGGTACTATAAAAACACCTTTGGAGCAGGCGGAGACTGGTAGGTTTGTGAGGGAAACTTCAAAAACTCAACCTAGCTTGATGCAAATGCCGTTTATGCAAAGTCGGGTAGGGTCGCGGCACTGTGCTCCTGCGTTGTCAGGAAATACCTCGGCGATTGCCGACATTTCCGCAGCGAAGACCGCACCGGCTTTTGATTGCTGACTACCATTGACTGTTGCACCACTGGTGCGAACGTGGCCTTGCACTGGTGTACTGCAGAACTTTCGCAGAAAACAGTCCAATGCAAATCAAGCGAACTGTGCCACCCAAACTTGGTATGCGAGGCTGCGAGGCCATGTAGGTTGCTATTTGCACAAGTCGCTCTACCGTGACTCCTTCCCACGCTGACTGCCCTTCTCCGCCTGCAAAATCAAGATTTAGTTTTGGTATCTGGCGAGTCAGCCCCGAATAGCAGAACCCTATAGAAACCCTAGAAGCCGTTTAGAAACACTAGATAAAACCATTGAAAGAACCCGCGTGGCCTAGCAAAACGCTGAAAGATTCCTTACACCATAAATAAGGCCCTTTCAACAATCCGTACAGATACCTTTACAGGGCATCCCGGACCTCGTCCTCATCCGCCAAGCGGCACTCTTCCGTCTTTGTGGCGCGAAGCTCGTCCGATTAGTTGCTTTAGGGGGGTGGCCTCGGAGAGCGCTTTTCTACTTCTAGGGTTTAGGGCTGCTAAGACACTAACCTATTAGTATAAACTTGATGCTGCGATGTTGATTGGTTTTCTCGCCACTAATGCATTGAAAGACTGTGTCAGCAAACAACCCTCCCCCCATGCCATGCCGCAGACATCGAGGAATCTTACAAAGAACCGGTTGGATCCAACTTCTCGTAGCTTGCAGCTCAAAGATTCTTCTGTAACAAGGCGGCATCACTCGGACGAAGGAGGTCAAGCTTTTCGGCGAGCATGGTGCGGCTAGATTGCTAAGTGAAGCGCTACTGTCGTGGCTTGCAGGCCTGAAACACGGAAATATGCCTCAGTCGTAAATTTTGGGGAGTTGAGTTGACTCAATGACAGGTTCGCTTGCTTTCTGCACCTCTCTCAAAACAAACACTGCATCGCCCTGGCAGCCTGGCTGAAACTTTAGCACCATACAGACTTGGCGAAGTGGTTTATATCTTTTGAACTATATACTAAGAAATGTGTTTCAGATTAAGCTGTATATACATTCATATACATACATACCAGATTTCCGTCAAGGAGCAGCACGAAATAGCCCCGAGCCGTCAGCATCTGGGACAATCACCATGGCCACACTCGGAAAGTCCAAGCCTCACAGGGCAGAAACAACAACAACATCAACAACAATGCCGGCGAGAACAAGAACAACAAAATGCAACAACCACATCATCAACACGAAAAGGCACCACCACCACCACCAAGAAGCAAAATGACAAGCAGGGACAGCAACGACGACAACACGCACACATGCGTATGTTTCTGTACCTACATACATACATACGTACGTACATACATACATACATACATACATATATATATATATATGTATATGCATGTATGTGTGTGTGTAAATATGGATACATAAAACATAAATGCGCGCAAATGGGCTACAATTCCAACCTAGCCAATCGCAGCGGAAATAATCAACGTAACTGAACATACAAAAGCCAACATAACAGCACCCGCAACAGCAGTACTGCCAGCAACAAGACCGACATCAACATCATCGTCAACAACAACACCAGCAGCACAGCAAGACTCATGACGATAATGCTAGTGATGTTGATGGTGGTGGTAATGGTGACAGCCGCAGCAATTGCAGCAGCAACAACGCCAGCAACCGCGAGCAACATCATCGCAAATAGTACGAACAAACCACGAGGAAAAGAACAAGGACTAGCAACAACTCTATACAACACAGATCTCCTGTGTCAAAGTACTTCAAGCTAAAGAATAACAACAACAATAACAATACCAACAACAGCAATAGCACCGGCAGCAGCAGCAGCAGCAGCAACAATAGTAGCAACATGTAGCAGCAACACGACAGCAACAGCAATAGCAACAGCTGCAAAACAGGGCTTTCTCCCGTCCTTCGATCAAGCCTTTAGAGCCAAGGAGGATATCGACTTGGCCTTCTCGGAACCTAGGTCGTGCTTGCATGACGCCACTGAGATAACCCCTGCAGCCACCGGTCCAGATTCGGGGTGCCCCACTTCGTAACTGTAACATCTGGTCACCATAACAGCTTGTGTCCAGGCAAGGATGTGAAGAGACTGGCATGACTGGACGTGGGAACCAAAACGGAACGTGAAATGACACAGGATGACATTGCCGCTACTTGAGCAGAGGAGCTCTTGCAGCGCCGCTGCTTTCTTCTTGCTGTCCATCGCTCCGTGGACTACTGCCGCGGCTTCCCCTCGGGCCTGAGCTAATCTGAATGAGCATGCGCAATCATGAGTAGCGGCACAGGGACTCAGTTAAACAATGAGACGCCTGTACATAAGTGCATATACACTTGTATGTATTGTGTGTTCAAAAAGGAACTCTGTGTTTATATACATACATACATTCTACAGAACGGACTGTTGTGAGGTGGAGTTATTGTAACCCCCCTGAACCAACCTCCGCCATGAATTTGCGCCTGCGTGCCTTTTCTTCGTAGAGGTGAGTATGCTCAGGGAAGGCGACATGAACAACACTCAACTACGCAATGTTCAGATTACGTAGAAAATGTCTGATTCGCTAGCATCTACCGGTCTTACTTCAGCCTCGAAAAAGCTTGGGCTATTACTTCGCCAACACCACGAATGAGTACACACACACGTGTTGTTGACATCATGTGATACACAAATATTCACATGTGCAAATACCCATGAAATACGGATACAACTACATTGTGGTTGTAACCCTAGCCGCATTGCATGGGTAGTAACTACACACTACATTTATATTCTCTGAATACTGGAAATGTGCACATAAATTTTGATTTGTAAGTGCGTAGACTAGCAAGATCAATCTACAAAGTCGATAGTGGCTGCACATGATGAATAGCCTTGCAATCAATCGTTCAAACAGATCCTAATTAAACGATGAATGGCAATGAATGGACTCTAACTAAAGGGTCCTAATAATTGGCAGACATTCATGACAACGCTTCTCGGATTATTTTCAGTAAAGTATCTACATCGCATCAACATCACACTCAAAAGCAGCCTGAACATGTTGAAAATGCTAGTCGAGAATGTAGGAAGTATTTTTTCCCCTCTTGCATGGCTATGGATCTATGCCCACAAGCCAGGTGGTTTTGGGGAACTGGATCAAAATCGAGTACATAGGTTTACCTCATATTGTTAATGACTCAGCATATGTGCTAAAATATACTTGATCAGCTCATATCTTTAACAAGCATTCGGAAAATGTTAGGAACTCGTAGTGCAGTTCTCGTCAGTCACCTGCAGCAATAACCAGGGCCTCATATTTACCCCTTCAGCCGTTCATTGGCTGCTTACTAAAACTCATGTTATCATGTTCCGAATTATACACTTCCTAGAGCCTGTAATGACACAAACCGTACGTACGTTGGATGTCCCAGAACTCCCTACTCAACCGCAGCCACTACACAACTCTCAGATCAGATGCAGTTGCCGTCAACTTGAATTAAGTACACTACTTATTATACTACGATGTCGCCTCCTGCGCCTTAGTTGCATAAACTCCGTAATTTCATAAAGCCTGGCGTTATGTGGGAACTGGGAAAGCAGAGTTAAGTAACATGCGGAACATAAGGAATTCACTGTGCAAGGTTGGTCCGTCCGCTAGCACAGATAAAGTGTGTGTAGCGAAAAAACCACACCCACATATTTTTGTCTATTGGATCTTCAGTCGCTTGGTGGAAAAATGGCGGGCGCCGTGGAGGAAGTGCCCGTGTTGTTTCCCAAGGTAGAATACAAACAATGTCGTGGTTTAGTTCAACATGAGAAGTGTTCTGTTACAGTCATCCAGAATTTCAGGCCCCGGCAGTCAGCAGACCCCAAACGACCTGCAGCAGTGGATGCTGGGACGACACAGTATGTACTGCCAGCTTGACATAAAATCATGTTCCTTTGTTCTCCGTGACGTCAGCAGCTGGGCTGAGCACACGGAGCCTCCAACTGTTAGCTGCAAGTTCCAACTGTCCAACACCGAAGAGTGCATGCATTGAGGATGAGGATGCAAATCCGAAGCACTCGCTCCGGGACCCCTCCTCCGCTTGGTTGTTGGTGACGCACGAAATGATCACCTGCTCGCCCTCCTGTCCTTAGTTGCGTCGGTAAGCGGTTGCTCACAACAGGCTCAGGTTGCCGGTAAAGTCACACGAGCGGGCTCAAGAGTCTTTCGAAGGATGTGTGTAAACAAAGGTCTACTGCCCAAACCCCTTGGAAGACAAGCTCTGATGCCTTTCTGAAGACTGCGCATGCTTGACAGGCGCGGCGCGTCTGTCCCTGCATTCACATATTCGCCACGGAAGCTATCACATCTACCAAGCGAAGCGCCGAAATGCAGACAATTCGATGATGAGCCGCGGGGACGGTCCTCCTTTCCCTGCTCTCCCGGGGAAGAGATGCCGAGGAGGCCGCAGATTTTGCAATACAGGCTCCTGGTCATAAAGAAATAAGGGAACACCGACTGATTCTTGTCGATTGCCCGAAGACATGTGGATCAAAATGCGCGCAGAAAATTGACCACTCCAGTCAACTCCACTCCCTCTATCCTGACACACACACATACATACATACATACATACATACATACATACACACATATACGTACATACATACATACATACATACATACATGCATGCATGCATGCATACATGCTTGCACGAATGCATGCATGCCTACAGACATACATACATACATACATACATACCTCTGTAAGTATGTCTATATATATATACACACACACATATATATATATGAACATAAATACAAACATAAATACAACAAACATACATTTTTAGCACTCGCACTCGACGCTGCAGGCGAGGTACCAGGAGGACAACAAACATACATACACACATGCATGTATGCATATGTACATATACATATATATATACATATATATATACATGCATAGATGTGTGCGTGTGTGTGTATGTATGTATACGATGTATACACAAAACTTTTTGGTTGCGCTGTGTTGTCCGTCCTAGGTGGACATACATGTTTTTCCATGCTCAGCTACTCACTGACGCACAGATACAAACATATATAGAGACATATGTACATTGGTATATATATATATATACATGTGTGAGTGTGTATGTATGTATGTATGTATGTATGTATGTATGTATGGAGAGAGATAGGTATAGACACACATGTTCTGTGTGTGAGTATGTATATGCCTTTGTATATGTATATGTATATGCCTGTGTATGTATACATGCATGTGTACAAAATGTGTGTATTCATACATACCACCTACCTGCCTGTTACCTACGTACCTACATAGGACCTACATGTGCATGTGTATATGTGATGTGTGTGTGGGACCATGTCTGTATGTGTATATGTACATGTAGAATTCATTGCTGCGGTTCTTCTCCTCATTGGTATGTAAAGAAGTATGCTTGCATTGCACAAATAACAAATGTTACATTTACTTATGCATACAGTATGTATGTATGTATGTATGTATGTAGGTATGTGTATATATATATAGACATACATACATACATACATACATACATACATACATACATACATGTACATGCCTGTGTTGATGTGTGTGCATACGTGCATCTGTCCATGCTTGCATGCATTCATGCGTAGGTATTCAACTGAACATGTTGTTGTGATCCCCCCCCAACCGCTTGTTCTGCATTGTGCCACCTGGCACTTTCCAACCATGTCCCAAACAAAAAAAAAACAGTAAACCCGAATCATGCTCCTCAGTATCGGCATTAGCCCACTCACAGAACGGATCACCAAAGTTTGGGAATTTCCGCAACCGCAGCCCAGAATACAAAACAAGTCTGGCTCCAGGTCTTGTGTCTGGTGTCGCCAGGGCCCTGGCCGTCTGTGAGCTGGGATGAGAGCAATGAGTGCACAGGTTCGAAGATCTGGGCTATCCTTGTCTTTCCGTCTCGCTTGGTTGCGCGACGTGGAAAAGGATGATTTATGCTGTCTGCAGCAACCTTGGCAACATGCAAAGCTCCCTTTGAAAGCAGCCCGGCAACATGCATGCCCCACCTGCTGGCAGCCCTCCATCTCAATTCTGAAAATCTCCTCAGCAGAACTTGCAGTGCCAACACGCAGTTTCAAGACTTTCTGCATTCCCTTGCCGCAGAATGGTGAATATGACTGCGACTACTCGGCTAGGGCTTATTCTAATGCTTCTCCTGCTGCTGCTAATTACTCGTTTTCGGTCTCTCCCAAACCTCCTGAAATCTGTTCCAAAGGTAATCACAGGACTGTCAGTCCGAACCCTGCAGCCTGGGAGCAGGCTCCAAGATACCCGTGGGCCGGAAATCCAACTCGACCTTCTCTCCCAATAGGCCTCCGGCCTGCACGGGACGCGCATCACATTACCCCCGTCCTTTTGCTCAGGCAGACCGATCTTGCAGCCAAACCCCTTCAATCTGAAAATCTGCTCTCTTTCCAGAAGGAGATAGAAGAACAACCAACACGCACCATCACTATGAGTCGAGCACATGGCTCGCCGATTCTGTCAACACTTAGACGATTGACTCGTCGAGAGTTGTCAGATAAAAGCTTGGCCCACCTTGTTGTCTACGTTTGCGTTTGCATTCTGATTCCGCTATTCATTGTTGCTGGGTGTGGGTCGTGGTTTTTATCGGGTTATTCCGCTCGAGAAGGTGCCTCCAACCGCCCAAAATCGCCTGAGAGTGTGTTCGTGTGTCCCATCCACTCTGAATTTGCGCTATTACAAGCTTGTTTTCTGGAAGGTGTTGAACCAACTTTGCCTTGAACCCTCGCTGAACTGTGCGTTCTGCTGCTTTCTCTGCATATTTACTGATAGTTTGCCACTTCCCATTCCCCTCAAGTATGCTCGAGCCACCCATGAGGTCTCGTCCATATTTGTTCAAGACCCCTCTTGTCTCGGCTTGCCGCGGCTTCCTCTCCAAATTGGATCAACCCTCAAGATTTGTCTCGTTGGCCTGCCAAACGCAAAAGATGCCTTCGCTTGCCTGATATATCCCCCGTACGGGCACCCAGTACTAATTTGGGAGCAAGATACCCCAAAACCTAGCTTATTCTGTTTGTTAAGGCCCCTAAAGTAGTCTTCTCTGTGACACTTGGGCTACAAGGCGCCAATAACGACCCACTCACACAATGTTAAGCTATCATAAGCTACAGTATCGTTATGATGACTTGCTTCACGCTGCATGTACTATGGCAGAACTGCTATTCACGACAATCATGCAGAACTCCTGACAAGAAGATTTCAGGCGCCGCGCCTTTTCCTGCGGGGTTGCCGACATGTTCAGCACCTCGGATCCAAAGCTTTCCAGTTTCGCAACTGTCAAGCCGGGAATCCCTATCCTTCTATTCGTTTTAACGTCCATTTTCCGTAGCCTTTGAGGGTTTCGCCCAAACCCTAAACTTCCTAAACGGTCTCCTGCCCAGCGATGCCTCGTTTTCGCATCCATCATCACAACCTCTTCATCGGAAAGGGTACCGTCGGAGCCCTGCTGCACCCAAAGTCCGCCCTGCTTGAAGTCTGTCATCGGGATCAAGTGGGCTGGCCAGGCCTATCTGACACCAGTCTCAACGAACTGTTGTGTCCTTCCTTATTTTTCTATACGGGTTGGGGGATGTCGCAGCAACTCCACAATCCAGAAATGATCGAAGTCCCTTCACCACATCATCCATGTGAAGGCGAGGTCAAGATGCAAAATCCACAAATGTCACAAGACTCCAAGCATGCCCCACCCCCATACTCGCTGTGCATGCTGTTGCCCTGAGCAGATGAAGCTTTGCGCAGCCTCAAACAAGCTTACCCAAACACGTATGATCAGACCGGGAAAGGCAACAGAGGTAGTCATGCTTGATCTCTGCCCGGCTCGTATACGAAAATTGAGCTCAGGGATGCTTTAAAAGATGTCGGATCACACATGTCGAATATGCCGATATAGTCGAAAGGCCAGATTATGCCTGAGCCGGCCTGACACCGAAAAGCAAAAATTCCGACGAATGGCTCACCCTTCATCATTATGTCACATTATGTCACACTTGCACATTTCTTGGCCCAAGGTCTGGCCAGGATTAACTGACAAGCAACGCACGAAAACAACAAACTCCCACCAACCTGGGATCTTCAGGCGGCAGTCAGAGCACATAGTGCGGGAGGCGACGCTCAAGCTGGGGCAGTGTCAGCGGCCCGTTCCCGCGATGCCTGAGGTCCCATGCTTGGGGTTGTTGGACTACATGACTACATGTGAACTACTTGGATTACTTCGGTGCTCTGCTAAATCTTGCCCTGGGATTTATGGATTTGGCAATCGTATTCGCACATGATTAGAGTTTTTGGCGCCCACACTCAGTTTTCATGGGGTGCTGCAAACGGAGCAAGGATTTTAAGTTCCAAATTCTTTTGAGAATCTAGGGGATCGGGGTCTACGGTTCGCAGGCCACCAGAGCGTCCACTTCAGGTGTGATGCTCGGCCCCCACGTCATCCACGGGAAGCAGCTGGCTCCTCGCCCTGCCGTTCTCGACGTGAGCCTGCACCTTGGCAACTCACGGCTACAAGAAGAACTGCAGAACATCACCTCGGTCCTGCCAAACACGATGCGCTGAGGTCTGAACTTGCGTACGGTATCCTGTGGAGGCGATCCCAAGCATGGGCCAGGTTGAATGGCATTCATCCACCACAAGAATCCAGTGAGCGCCGAATTTATCCTGGGAGCGATGTAAGCCACTACTCAAAGGGCTACGTGCACTGAAAGGCGACAACGACTTGGCAAGAAACATACGCAGGTACGTGGCAGCAAGGGAATAGCAGCTCTGGGGCATGGTTGTGCAAAAAACGGCCACACAGCATAACTGTAATTATTTGATATAGCTGTAGGACCAAGGCCAACTTCCACTGGCTAAAACTCGACTAAAATGCCACTTGCTCCGAGCTACATTCATCAGATCAATCAACGTTTTCGGGTCGAGGAGGTCCCCATACAAGTCCTGGATCGGCCAGCAGTTCAGGGCATGGCATACAGACTGACCAGTTTCCCACATGGCCTTTTGACGTAAAACTGCAATGACAGCCAGTGTGACTGCCTGAACGTACACAAGCAGACGGAAAGAGCCCGCAGAGTGGTGCCCTTAGTCAGAGGGAACATAGGAGTGACTGCTTGACCCGTGACCCCTCTGCAGCCATCTCCAGACCTGGACAAACTCATGCCTGATCGCGATGGACACGTGGCATGTTACGCATGCCGTCGAATCTGTGGCAAATGCAGACATGTTCAACAGAGGCTTCATGCGATGCCAATGCATGATGTGCAAGACGATGCAGCTATCCCGGCTGGGTGTCATGCTTCATACACCCTCCGACGGATCCCAGCAACATCAGAGATGCGAATCACAAAACGACGAACCCTTTTTCGCTAACCGGTCCCTGCACCTGATACACAATCAGGAACCGCCTGGGCCTGACTCATCAGGGTCTACAATCCAGGCTGTTGCGACTGTTCCCATGCCTGCACTTGGAGGAAGTCCGTAGGAATGTGTATAGGAGAGTTGGGAGCGAACTCTGTTATTGCAGAGAAGTTTCGAACATGTCTGGGCAACGGAGGACTTTTTTCAGCTTCTCGATGTCCTCCTGCCAGTGACTGCGCATGCGCTGTCTGTGGTTGGCTGACCAACTCTGAGGGCTCCTCCCTCATTCGTGCTTACAGGGAGGTTGCTGCAACTGCTGGACTTTCTTTCCAGTTATCTTCTCAAGAGCAGGGGTATACAAAAATGCCGGCATTGGTGTCATGCACCATGGCACGAGTGGTCTACAAGACTGCCCCAGTGCGCCAGTGAACCCAGACTTCAAAAATAAAGGCCTGTTACATCCATGCCCTTCGGGTGCCAGCCTTCCCTTAGCATTCCAGTCGCGAAATGCGCAAACACTACAAGAATTACTGCGCTTTATGTGGAACCCGACAGCAACATCGGCCCCAATTGCTGCACTGGCGAAAGTGATTGGGTGCAGGTTGCAGACTTCCGGAAATCCCTTTGTCTGCGGGGTGGTGTTGTGTACAGAAGCATATGTGTCTGTGTATATGTATACATACATATACACAGACATGGCGAAGATGGTGATTATTATGATGGTGGTGAAGACGAGTGCAGGCACTGTTGACAAGTTTGGTCATGGCTAGATGCGAAAGCTTTTCTGAGGTGTCGTCCAGAGCCTGCTTTCCTCAGTGAGCGTAAGGGAGGGCATTCTAGTATGATATCTGCAGGCCAGCTCCGCTCGGACACCGGGCTCTCGAAACCCGACAGGATTCCGGATAACACCGCCCGCACTTGCCTAGCCTAGCAACGGGCATATGTCAGGAAGGATGGCATCATCGCGAGGCAGATGCCATACTCGATACCGCATCCAGCCAAGATGGCCCGAACAGGCGGACAGTATTCAGTATTCCTTCTGTGTGATTGGCATCGTGATCATGCATTTGCAGCGGTGCGCGTATGCGATCAAAACAACTTCTGCTTGCATCCATGACCGCATGTCCGGGCAAGGAAGCAGAGGCAAAGCGATGCAGGTGGCGTACTGATGGCCTGCTGAGCTGCTGAATGTTCTGTTTTTACAAGGTGGTGCTCGCAGGGCGGCAAGTCGTTGTTGCTTCGTGCAGCATCATGCTCTTCGCGGTGCTTTATATGTCTGCTGCCACAACAATGTGATGTCTCGCATTGCAAGGAGGCACATCGCAGCAACTTATCACCTGAGGGAAGGATGAAGCACATCCAGCTGCACTCTGACACAAAACGCCTGCATCCGCAAATCACGAGCTTCACGATTCATCCACAAATCACGAGCTTCACGATTGCGGAACTTGACGTTTCCTGGCGCGTGCCAGGCAAAGCAGTCAAGACTTCGAGAACATCGGGATGGACACAACTAAGAGAGAACAAGGAATAGTGACAGGGGGCCAAAGTGTTGGCTGCCTGACATGCGGGGACAACGCGCCTGTACGCGCCGCCGCCTTTTTGCGTTGCTTCTTCAGCTCTTCTTCAAGCTGCTTTGCCTGGCAGCGGGCTTCTTACATCGCAGTCCGGAAACACATCACTCGAAGGTGAAACCAAGCCATAGTAGTAGGGCCACTGGTAATAGTAGTAGTAGTAGTAGTCGTCGTCGTCGTCGTCGTAGTCGTAGTCGTAGTCGTAGCGGTAGTCGTAGTCGTAGTCGTAATCGTAGTCGTAGTCGTAGTAGTAGTAGTAGTAGTAGTAGTAGTAGTAGTGGTAGTAGTGCCGTTGGTAGTATCCGTAGTAGTAGTAGTAGTAGTAGCAGCAGCAGCAGCAGCAGCAGGAGTAGTAGTAGGCACGCCCCCCCCCCCTACCAACTACACTTGCTCTTAGCCATGTTAAGACAACATCCACTTTACTCGGTATTTACAGCACTTTCGTCATGTCCGATCATCATAACAGGCCTCAAAATCGACTTGTCGAGTTTGTAAACTCGGGCTCTTGATTTTGGACTTGATTCTTGGGGGGGGGCGGGCTTGGGGGGGTGGGGGGGGATGTTGA